AGAGAAAGAGACAGAGACAGAGATCTTATTTTTTACTAAATTACAATGATCCTTTGTTAACTACTGGGCTTACAATTCCATATATTTTTTAAACTACCACTACATTGGCCAACCACACTGATAACCTTTCCTTGTGCCCTAGCAGTGTAAGCGTGTCCACTCCAGACAGGACAGTCCATGAGGGGTCCCCTTATCCCTCTGTTTAAGGCCTCTCACATGTCCATTTGAAAGCATGTATCAGATCCATCTTCTTCCTGGGGACTCCCTCTGTTCAGCCCAATGTCTCCCTTCCCTGGTCTCACACTTCTGTACCTATCCCATGTTCTCCTAACAGCCCTTCTTTAGCTTCAGCATGAATAGAATAGGGGGGAAATGCTTCACAGTCTTTCTCCAGTTGGCCCAGCCACCCTGGTTCAGGCAGGGAAAATGTGGGAAATGCAAGCATTGTAGCTAAAGTCCACACTGCCCACACTTATAGAACTGAGATAGGGAAGTAACAGGTGAAATCTTCAGAGAAGAGGTGACAGATCTATTTCTAGAACAACTAACAGACACACCTTTCCCTAAGCAAAGTTAATATCGGGCCTGTGTAGCAAGAGCAAGACTTTGAAATTGGAATGTGATTATATTTCTCCTCAATAATGCCAATTGAGCTCTGTTTAAACAGGCAGATAATGCCGAGTCATAAATTAGATTAGAATGGAAAAAAACAATCATTACATTTGCTTTCAAAATGGATATTTAATGAGCGGTCAAACCCTCTAGATCAAGGATAAGCAAACTTTCTCCTCCTGCTCTTCCTCTTTCTTCTCCTTCTCCTCCTACTTCTTGCTCCTTCTTTTCCTCCTCCACTTCTTTTCTTTTTTTCTCTCCTTCTCTTTCTCCTTACCCTTCTTAACCATAGAACCTTGCATTTACTAAGTAAGTGCTCTACCATTTGAGCCACACACCTTTTTTAGACAAAGAGCTGCAGACTAAATATGTTTAGCTTGAGGTTATAAATAGTCACTTTTGTATTTTAATCTTTTTTCCTTTTCAAAAACAACAGTTTTTTATTGTGAATATTTTTTAATTTATTTTTTTATTGTGAGAATACTATACAGAGGAGTTAAAATTACATGGGCAAGATAATGAGTACATTTCTTAAAAAGTTGAACCCCAAGATAAGTATTCAAATGTCTTTTTTTGTTGTTGTTGTTGTTTT